ATCTGGTGCAGAGGAGGCTGGTAAAGTCAAAGCAAGAATTAAAGGTTGGGTAAACACTAGACAGCTATGCAGTGCGAGTGACGCACACACATGGCTCTAGGAGACGCTGGATGAAGCCACAGGCACGAGTCCAGCTCGCTGGAGGCAGCTGCTCCAAACTTTCCTTTATTTTTCTCCAGCCTTAGACTGATGTCATCGATGAGCTCCAACAGACAGTAGCTTTCTCAACAGTTGACGGCGAACTCTTCAGGAACTGCTAAATTTCCAAGCAGCAGTTTTATGCATAACGAATGCCGACCCTTTCACTTATTTCTTATAAAGATGACTGATGAAAAATGTTCGCTTCTTACAGTCGGGAAACAGCTGATGGGAAAAATGTGCTGAGGCACGTCTTAAGTGGGCTATTTGTGTGCCTAGACCTGAACGATGATATTAGTGATCTACAGTAGAACTAGAATTCTTGACATCATATCCATCGCGCAATCTAGGCTAGTAAAAAAAAAAAAAAAAAAAAAAGGCCAACAGTGATGGTGTCCCCAAAACCTGTGTCGCGTCTCCCGTCTTGGCCAAGGATGTATCAGATGTAGTAGCATTCGTAAGAGCCGATGGTGGCTCTGGGCATGCGGTAGCGGGGAAGGGAAGGGAAGACTTTGACGATTGTATTTTAAAGGCGAATTCTGGGAACTGCTTGCGATGGTGAAAGCGACGGTAAGTTTGATTAGAACCGAGCAACCAGAAACACTGAATGTTGTTATTGTAGCGAGTTATAATGTTGCAGTGTCGGCGACGTGGTCTCGGCGCAATTCTCACTGATGTTCTCACCAGAAGTATACGCCAAGAAACAAAGGCGAGGGAAGTCCTATAAATAAATACTATTTTGCGATAGCTAAAGATACAATACACAAATAGATACAATCTGTACGACAACATCCATAAAAAGTTACCAAACAGCATGTCTTAAAGGCAGTTGCTTCCTCATGAATCTGCGGCATTTCCGAGCGTTGTTGGGGAACCGGCATCAAAGTGATCGCTATTCTAGTGCCATACACACTCTGCACTGTTGCCAGGCAATTTCCCTCTTCCAGAAGCAGCACCGATTTATACAGGAACGCGGACCAAGTTCACCGAAAAGGCTTACTACGAAAACCGTTTTCTTTTCACGGAAAATTAAATATATACAGAAACAAACAACAACAGAAGGGAAGAAAAAAAATGTTACTGAAAATAAAGCTCTAGTTGCCTACTATGGTAGATTGTTTTAATTTGTGAGAATGTATTTTCATCCCCATGCCCAGTGGCATTTCTTGCTGAAATTAACTAACAAACAAAGATCTTTTTCGAAGAATTTACTGCCTGGTCTGCAAGTTGTTTTTGATATACATATCAACTGTCATCTCGAATGATTGAATGGAAAAAAAAAATTGTATCAGTTTACTCTAAATATAAAGCCAATCTATAAATATAGCAACCAAGGTTTGCAACACAGGTTGCGATCATTTCCTTTGGCATATCGGGATCGATCGCTTTAAAAGGCGCGATAATTACAATAACGAAAAATAACCTAATTTCATTAAACCTTAATGGCACTTTATAGTCATTTGGAATTTGACACACATTTTACATCCATTCTAATTATCAAACTCATTTAGCTTTCTGTTGTTTCACATTTACCTATTGCAAAACAGGTCGAGAAAGCACAGTATTTCCCGAAAGCAAGAAAACAGCTCCGACTTCTGTACAAACAAGTGCACCGAACAATCACAGGTGTTTCCCAGAGGCACAACAGTTTCGCGTGCCACATCTAGAGTGTAAGCCAAGGCCAAATGGTGGCACATGTTCCCGCCGTGGGAAAGGGGAAGGCGTAGACAAAGCCCTTTTCCCTACGGAGGTGCGAGACGCCTGAGACGGTTAAGTGTGAAACGTAAAGTAAAATGAGGATGACAGGGTGAGGATGCAGTGTGAGCGTAGAGAATGAGGGAGAGGATTGTGCCAAGACTGGGACGGGTTGCCAGGGAAGTGATGGAAAGTGTGGGAAAGGGGAAGCTGAGAATTACAGAAGCTGAACAGACGCCATGGTGATAAAAGGGTGAAACTAAAATGCTAGGGTAGCGTAGGGATTCGGGTGAACGAACGAATGAAAGCACTGCTCATATATCGACAAACATATAAGAGAAAGATAATACAGCTGATAGACTTAAAAAAACAGGACATACGCTATCAATCGCCTCTTTCTAACAAAAATCTCCTCCCACATTTATTCATAAATAGGCCTACTCACTTAAGCTCCCGCTTTGTTTAATCCTCTAGTTCTAAGCATTACATCACAAGTATTTCAGCCACTGTGGTACAAACACCAGCTTCCCCTTCCCCTGTACCTCCCTCCCTCCCTTCCCCCCCTCCTCCTTCCCTCTCTCCTCCCCCCCTCCATCCGAGCTCAACCTTCCCTCTCTACCTCCCTGCAGTGCTGCCATCTGGCCGTCCGTTAAGCTAAGCTTTTTGCTTCCCGCTCACTGCAAGTCAATGTCTCCTTCACATTTCCTTACTGTCAACCTTATTCTGGCCGCCCCGCACCCCCCTGCGCCCGGTCTCTTGTTCCCTCCCCCTCCCCCAAAGATACAAATTTCCCAACACGTCCCACCGCCCGGACCCCCAATCCTCACCCCACAGTCGCGTCCAAAGATATCTATGACGTAATGCAGCACGGAAGCGCATATGGCTACGAATAAGCTTTATTTGACCCCATGCTGGCCACGCTTCGTTCTAATCTCTGTTGTATGCTATCAGCAAAATATCAGATAGAAAACATGTACCCGTGAGCTTGAGTGATAGCTAGCGGGCAGCGACGCCGACGTCATTGTAGCTAAAAATAGCCATGATGTCACCACCGAGCTCAGGCCCCTCCCCCTCCCCCTGCCTCCAACCTCACATATTTACGAACACACGCGCGTGGCCTTCCAACGTACACGTAAAATACATATGCAATTTAGCACGTGGAAATAGTTCGAACCTTATATCTAATGGGGATATTTAGTCCAGCGAATCACATTCATACACAAACAAGTTTAACAACCCTGCAACTCTGGCCTGGCACTTACAATCCATCCTGAACTGCAAGTCTAACACCATCAATAACGTCAGCAAATTTTAGTAAACTGACAGTATGCTGTGAAAGATTACCACAATTTAATCAACATGAGTTTAAAATTACATAAAACATCGTTACAAACTTCCCACAACCGCACGTCTTCCTAGGGACAAAGGCTGACCTCGCTGACAAATGTTGTTGTATAGCTTGGCAGATAAAGGTGAAATTCTCTTTGTACATGGTTCACACAACAAAGACTAATATATTTACTGATGACCCAGGGCAAATGTCTGACCCACTTCCGGGGTTTCTTAACTGCCTGTAGTGAACCACAAGCATTTCTCCCAAATTCTACAATTGAAAAAGTGGCATTACAGCCTTCATCACAAATCAGTTTTTTAGCTGGGTAGTTAATAGAAGACAACTCACCTGTCCTCAGTCAAGTTCTTCAGTAGATTTTTAAAATTACTTAATGACTTACTATTACACCATGTCAGCACAAAATAATTACTTCCAAATTTGATTTAAGCTCAGAACAGAACAACTACAAATTAAAGAATGGCATACCCACTAAGTTAGTGTAGATAATCCACTCCTGTTCAATTCTGTGTTATTAAGACAGGGGCTCTTGCAACAGTGCCAAGAGGACAATCAGTTGTAGACCCCTCCCTCCCCCTCACCTCCTGGGATCAGGTAACATCAATTCATTGGCAAACCAACCTGGCTCACGGCTCAAAATATTTTCTACCCTCCGCATCACTAAAACTACTTGTAGGCTTCCTTTGTGGGATGCTATGATATTTAATAGCCCACTGCAATGTGTTGACTTTTAATATGATAGTTAATTTTCTTTATTCAACTAGTACTGTCTATATCTTTAAAATGAAATTGATTTCTTCTATAATCATGAGAATTACTTTCTGACATTTATTTCATCATTTCATGAATTACTGTTATAAAAATCTATGAATATATTATACATATACTGAATTGCATACATCAGCTATGAATAAAAATATGACCCAAAAATTATAGGTGCATTTATTCAATACTGTAGTACTGAATTTCACTAACAAACATCACTTTAACAAAATCATTACTTAAATAAATTGATGAATATTTGATATTTGTTAAAATTATGCAGATTTAGAGTATAGTAGTAAGTAGAGTATAACAATAAGAGTTAATATGTTAATAGGCATCTTTATATTAAGTCATATATTAGTATGCACTGCAGTATGTACCTATGTAACTGAATTATTATCATTAATATTTAACTTTGACTTCTCAAATTTGTTCAATATTCTTCCTAATTCAGCCAGCCAAATCGATTGATGAAAGTACTTAATGGTTCATAAATATTAATTTAGTTATTATTTTCATGACTCATTTAGATATTCAAACCTAATTTCATAAAATGAATCCAATTAAACCTTAACATATTATTCTTTTTTACATTTCTAAATTTCATTGCATCCACCATGCTGTCATGACCATTTAGCATTTTACCTTCAATTTAAAAAAAGAAACAACAATCTTCACCCCAGCACTTTGCAAGTAGATGTCATATTAATCATGTTTACCCATCTAAAGGACTGACGTTAAGCAACACTAAAACAACCAAAACAATATTTTTGTATTCTGTTAATTTATAAGAGAAAATGGGTCACAAAATCAAGCGTAAAACTACACCATTCAGCATGAATACCAGCACGAGTACCCACCGAAAACCCTCCGGTGTTTGCACTCCTCCATTCGCGTGCTTTAAAATTAATCGAGACCACAGTCTCATATCTGCCTGTCTTGGGATCAGCCTAACTTTCCTATGACTTTAATTCCTCAGTGAGGCACACAAGGGGGTCAGGGAATGTCTAAAAATGAAGAGACCAGCGCATGACTTACGTTATCAGTGAAACAAGAAGCAACAACGTGATCATCTCTCCCAGGACGAAGACTTCCTCCACAAGCCACTCTTTCGCTCCAACTAGAGGCCACATTATTTCACACTGAATTACGCGGTTTTGGAGAAAGTAGCAACGGTGCTGATTCATCAGAATGGTATTTCATAATATCATAATGTATTTTATGCTTATAACTGTTCATTAGGGCGATTTGTAATGTTTATAATATGAAAGCGAGAATTTAGGAAGGATTTAGTATGAAGATGTAAACAAACCTCAAAACAAGGGGAAACAGACGTGGCAACTTCATTATTTACTTCCTTTTCTAGGTAAGTCATTGAGTTTGTTGTTTGAAATGTACCATTTTTGTATTTAAAGACTGTAAGGGAAGGTGTAAGCTTATGGAGCAGAGGTGTCGTAGTGAAAAAATGTTAAAGGTCGCTATCATGTTTACTGACAGGTCAAAGTTTTTTTTTTCTGTCTAGTAGCCTGATATATCACATTGTCAAAGTTTGTCTATGAATATAATCCATAATATATAGCATGATATATGTTTAGAGGACACCTACAGTTGCTTTCAAAATAGATTTTTATTCACAGCAATATGTGCTATGTACTATTTAAAACTGTAAAAATCACCATTAGTTCAAGCCAACTGTGACAAACATTATGAATTATGGCAAGATAAAGATTATTGTTTGATGGTGAGCTGTATGAAAGGTCTGCAAATTCTTTCTTGCACGAATCTATTTGGTAAGGGTTTGTTAGTCCTTGCTCGAGAACCAACAGGTGTTGCACTAAGTCAGTAATGCAGATAAGTTTTAAACATTTATCAGTAAGACTAACTTAGGGGCATCAATGTCATGGTCAGATTTTTTTCTTCTCTTCTGATTTTCAGATTTTCATTTTATCATTTATTAAAATATTAATTATATCATATCAAATAAATGAATTTGATTATTATGTTTTATTTTTAACACTGACCATTTCAACAATATTTCTCTTTGGGAGGATATGAATACACCATGGCCTTGTGACTACCACATGGTGCAAATGAACATTATAGTCCTAATTACTTTTTTTATAACAATTTCTTATACATTTTACTTTACTATCAATTATCAGTATTTATCAATGATATTTATTAAGCCAATTTTGAGCATTACATTAATGTGAGATTACTATTTGCTTTTCTGACATTACTGTAATATAAATGTGATAATATCAGAGGTAGTGCAACATACCTGATTGAATTGGTGCCATGGTTCCTTGCAGTTATATGAATTCCTAATAGCCTTGAGGTTTACTGTACTCTTGCCCTTTAACAGCTGTTGACCTATAGTCTTATATTTCTGTTTGTTCTCTGTGAATGAGGATTGAATTTACTATTTTAGTGTTGCATAGACTGATTAAAGTTTATAGTTATAAAGTTCATTTACATAAGATAAATTAGTTTGGAAAATTTGCTATACACAGTGGAATACTCCAAGACACTTATGATTCAAGATAGAGTTTAAGTAATATTGTTTGTCATGACCTAATCTAGACAAAGAGCCGTCATGGGATATGCCATCTTTAGGTAGAAATTTTGTAGTTTTTTCATTCTAAGGGGAGGGCATCTCCTCTCTGCTTATTATCAAGAAATTAGGTTAAGGGCTAATTTAGTTGCTTTCTGCAGTTTGGTTTGGTTTCTTGGCTGCCAGTTTTTGAGTTACATTTGAATTAAAGTTTCTTTCTGATTATTTTTGCTATTGTTTCACACTGACATGTAAACAAAAGTAAAAGTACTTTTTAAAATGAAATTAGCACAGTCAATTGTAGAAACACATTACATGACTTGAGCAAATTGATCTAGATAATGGTTGGCTAGTTGGACTATAAGGTCATAAATACTATCTCACCCTTTCTTTCTTTTGTTCTTTCTTTCTTTATATTTCTCTCTCTCTCTTGCTCTTTCTCTTTCTCTTTCTCTTTCTCTTTCATTCTCTCTTGCTTTTTCTTCCCCTCTTTCTCTCTTTCTTTTTCTTTCTCTCTTTTTCTTTCTCTCCTTTTCTTTCTATCTTTCTCTCTCTCTTTCTTGCTCTCTTTCTTGTTCTCTTTCTTGCTCTCTTTCTCGCTCTCTTTCTCGCTCTCTTTCTCACTCTCTTTCTTTCTCCCTTTCTCTCTTCCTTTCTCTCTTCCTTTCTCTCTTCCTTTCTCTCTTCCTCTCTCTCTCTCTCTCTCTCTCTCTCTCTCTCTCTCTCTCTCTCTCTCTCTCTCTCTCTCTCTCTCTCTCTCTCTCTCTCTCATATATTACATGAACTAATACACTAATGCTTTCTCAGTCTCATTCTCTTTTCCTAAGTATCCCTTTCCCAACTGCCTCTTTTTCCCTATATCTATCCCTGTTTTTTTCTTTTCTACTGTCCCTTTTTAAAACTAATTCTTTCATTATATTATCAGGTGAACCTCATGAAGGGAGAGGAAGTCATTCTGTACCAGGAGAAGAAAGGTGCATTAGGAGTAAAAAATAATTATGTTTATCAAGAGAACATCAGATCGTTTGTGCCATTGGAATGTAAAGAAGAGTAAGTATATGAATTTTGATTACTCTCTACTGCTACATGATATTTACAAATGTATGCCCATTCTTGCTTTTATTATCCTTGTTGCTCATGCCATGCGGATGCCAGTATCCTAAATGTCTTGTGTTTTGAATATTTCTCATTATTATTTTCTATTGTTGGTTTTATTATCATCATTATTGTCTATTGCCTTATCATTATGATAATGATTATTGCTGTTGTTATTATTGTTTTTGTTTTTGTTGTTGTTAGTAGTAGTATCTTTATTATTATTGTTATAATTAGTAGTAGTAGTAGTACCAGTAGTAGTAGCAGTATTAGTTGTAGTAGTAGCAGTAGTAGTTGTAGTAGTAGCATCATTATTACCATCTTTATTGTCATGACTATTGATGTTGACTGGTACTGTTAAAAAAAAGAAAAGTAACTCATATCTACTAGGCCTACTTACTTTTACCTTATTAATGGAACTTTGCCAGTTTTTCCTTAATAAGGTCATGTGATAAAGTCATGTCTCCCTACCAGGGACCACAATAGCAGCGAGAGGCATATTGTGGGATGGCTGCGGGATGTGTTCCTTCCTAAGGGTTACCCAGACTCTGTGTCCCCAGACTACCTTCACTACCAAATGTGGGATACAATACAAGTAAGACATTGAAGTTTGTGTTGAATCTCTGTTGTTATGGAAAATATGGGAGCTTGGTTTAATTTATGTTTTGCATATGCCTTGTAACTCTTGTCAGTTTTTGATGAATAATGTGCTTGTTTCCCAAAGATTATTCAATAAATATATGATTATGCTGTAACTTTATCTTATGAACCGATCTTAGGCATTTTGTTTTTTGTATCCAAATTAGTTTCAACTGTTCATTCATGATTTTTTAGAGGCTGTATTTGTATTTCAGGCTTATTGCAGCAGCATCGCAGGTGCACTAAGCCTTAGAGCAACCTTTGAAGGTTTGGGAGTGGGAGAAGGAGCAGCAACATCCCTTGCAGCAACATTAACATGGCTATTGAAAGATGGATCAGGAATGATTGCCTCCATTGCATTTGCCTATTGGAGAGGGTTAGTATTGAATGATGACCTGTTCAGCAGGTTATGTGTTGTGGGCCTCAGAGTGTCAGGCAAAAATTGTGAGCTAATGAACTTTGATAACATGGTCTTTGGTCTGTTAGATGATTGTGTGTGTGTGTGTGTGTGTGTGTGTGTGTGTGTGTGTGTGTGTGTGTGTGTGTGTGTGTGTGTGTGTGTGTGTGTTTTTTTTTTTTTTTTTTTTTTTTTTTTTTTTTTTTTTTTTTTTTTTTTTTTTTTTTTTGTCAGCGTTCAGAATAGCATGATTATATGACATTGAAAATATATTCTTCTTTAATAAAATTTAGCTTTTAGATTTTTAGAATATTGGTGCTGCTAGAATTTCATACTTAGGCAATTCTTAAATACAACCCAAATTTCTCATCAATACAATGAGTCTGTGTGTATTCTATCATACATTAGTTTTGCTACATATTAGTTATTGTAATTCTCATTTTTAGGTCACAGCTAGACTGCAATAGCAAGCAGTGGCGTCTCTTTGCAGATGTAGCAAATGATACTGGGCATCTTCTAAGGCTCTTGGGCCCTCTGCTACCTGTTCCTTTCTTGGCTGTAATGTGTGTCTCAGCTGTGATGATGGCTTTAGTTGGAGTGGCAGGAGGAGCCACACGTGCTGCCCTTACTCTGCATCAGGTAACAAAATGAGATATACATAATGAAAAAAATGGGATATTCTGTGTATATATGACATTAAAAATTGTGACTCAAGTCTAACAGTTAAAATTGAAACAAAACATATGCATATCATATGTATGCTGCATGGAAAATGATATGGTGTGTTTAGGCACGCCGTGACAACATGGCAGACGTATCCGCTAAAGACGGAAGCCAGGAAACCCTTGTGAATTTGGCTGCCCTAGTCACTTCTCTCACCATATTACCTCTCATCATATCAAATTTCTTGTGAGTAATTCTGAATTTTGTATTGTGTTTGTACATATGGAGATTGGATACTTATATTTTCCTTTCAGCGTGTTAGATGTATATAGATTTTATTATACTGAGACTGGGGAATAGCAGTTTATAAGGCCCATATATGTGGTAATGTATTGCCACATATATAGAGAGAGAACTGAAAATTCTCTAGAATTTGAGTTAACTCCTCTAAATAAGATTCACAACATGTATGATTTTGTGTGTGAGAAGAAATGGAGGAACCAATTAGGCATGAAAATAAACAATTCTGTACTGCCTAATTAAGTGATCAGAAAAATTGATAGGACTGCAGTCCTGTTAAAAACAGTGCATTACTCTAAACTGTGTAGTAGTTAGAGTTCAAAAAGTAAGGAAATAGCATCTTTGTATTTATCAGCAATAGAAATTTATAAGAGCCATTGTAGGTCTGTCTTGGGTGTGAGTTCTTAGTAAGTAAAATGCATAGATTATCTGTATTTTCAGTGAAGCTTAGCACATTTGCAGTTTATATTAGATTTATAACACATGTAACAAAAAATATATATGTGTGTGTGTGTGTGTGTGTGTGTCTTTTTATCTGTCTTTTTCTTTTCTACTTTTTTTTCTTTCTTCTTTCTTTTCTTTTCTTTTTTTCTTTTTATTTCCTCCTTTTTTCTAACCCAGTTTGATGTACTCAGATACTGATATTATTTAGAGGATCAGCTAAATAACCAATAAAACAGTGAAAATACCCCCTAGAGTAACCTGGGTGACCTTCATCCTGTGTGTGGTTATGCACCTCCTGGCCAACTATCAAGCAGTACGATCAGTCAGAATGGAAAGTCTCAACAGACCTCGCCTTTTATACACTTTAGATAAGTGGACAACGAGTGCAAGTATTCCCGGGATAGAGGAGACTAACTTATCAGAGCCTCTGCTTACTGGGGCAGCATTCATTCCAGGTAATCATTTTTGTGTGGTGATTGCCTTTGTTATTGGTAACATTAGTAATTGTAGTAGAAGTGTATATACATATGATTTGGTATTTTCATTAATATTCATATCGATTGACATTGATTTTAATGTATGTCCTTACTTTCTTAGTTTTTTTTTTTTTTTTTTTTTTTTTTTTTTTTTTTTTTTTTTTTTTTTTTTTTTTCATGAATTGCTGAGATGTACAAAACCCCAATTATATTTCACGGCTATAGGAAAAGTGATTTTGTGTATTTTGTAATCGCCTCCAGATTTCTTTCCTCATGGATTTCGAGTCAGACTTGGTTGCTCTTTAACTGAAGCTCTTAACCATTGTTGGAGCAGTGAAAAGAGCAAGAAAGACACTTATCTGAATATTACAGAAACATTTACAATGGAAAACTATATAGTAAGTGACTTCATGCAATGTTGATGCCTTTTTATGTTGAGGGTTAGGCAAGTAATCTGTTAATATTAGATCATGAATTTAATCAAAATATTTATTTTATTAAATTTTCTTTCTTTTTCCCTTGTTCTAGAAATTTTACTAAAAAGATAATGCAATTACAAAGTCATCATATATTCCGTTACCGTAAAAAATAACTGCTAAAAAGCATTGTAATTACTTAACTTAATATTATTATTACTATTTTTTTTTTTTTTGTGTGTGTGTGTGTCAAAATCCTGTATGTATAAAATACAGTATAAGTGTTGGTGTGTCTGGTATTAGTTTGCTAATTTCTTATATTTTTAAATGTTCTTTTTTCAGGTGTGTGGGAACCTAACCCAAAAACAGATATTTATTATCTACAAACAAGAACTGACAACTAAACAAGAATTGAAGGCCTTTTTTGTGGCCTACCTATGCATACTGAACTTTGTTCATATTAAGGAGGTAACTTTATCAGTCATTCCATAAACAGTATTAAAGATTCATATGATATTTCTTTTATTCAGATTCTTTTAACAGTTATCAAATGTTGTTGCAGGGTGTTCAAGTATCTGCAGAATTTGTTGCTGAGGGTTTGACAGAGTCCTCTGATGTGGACAACATTATCCCACATGTGAAGGTGTATGCACAGAGGCTGTTTCCATCATTCCTGCTGGAGCTCAGTGCTAAAGGTACACGTAAGAGTTATTTAAAAAACTTAATTTGTTAATCATTATGAGGTGTGTGCTCCTGGGTTATACAAATTTATGTGTATGTGTATTATATTTTGTTGAGTAAATGCTGGATGAAGATTTATTTCTTGCCTTTACTGACTTGTAAACAAAGACCAAATATTGGAAAAGTCATGACAAGCTAACTTTCTTCCCCTGAAAGTTCTGTTATTATTCTTAAGTCTCAGGCATAAATATTATCTCAATTTGACAGGGTGGAATGTCAGTCGGCTTCTTCTTGCTGCAGGTGAATGGAGGTTGGCATAAGGCATAGGAGCAAGGGACAGCCAGTTGCTTCAATTTTCTAGTTTCTTTGGGGTATTGCTGATGTATTTTGTATGGAATATTTTGGAAGAAAGGATGTAACAAGACAAAGAGTTTAATTTCCCTTCCTTAGGTGTTATAGAATGTTCAAGTACACATATTGTGTCTATTTAAAGATATCATCGAAGCCATAAATAGCACAATTATTTTTGTCAAAATGGAAAACATTGACAAATCCACACTTGGCAATGTGATTACTAGACGAAAAGGATGGGCTGTCTCCTGCTGGACCTAAGCATGCTTCCTGGTGAATATCATTCTCCCAGCCAGAAAACTGCCCTGCGTTACCAGTCAGGAAACCTTTGAACTCGAACCACCCATCATGGATCGAGGAACAGTCAAGCTCAAGGTCCACCATCCAGTAGGCTTCCCCAAATCTGTATGAAGGAAATTAAGACTTGGATTCAG